AGAACTTAGGTCTACATTAAAAATAAAGAATCTAGACAACACCACCCCTTGGAATGGATTGGGATTTCGCTAACAAGTGGGTCTCGCTAGATATGGGCGTGTGTCCTACACGTATTGGAAAATGAGGTAAATTGTAGTGCAATGTTGTCAGGGGAGGCAGAATCAAACTCCCGGCCACAAACAATGTCATCTTCCAGTTCCATTAATTCTAAGAGGAGTGACGTTGCTTGAAAGCATTGTACACCAGTGAGAGAGAATGATACAAATGAGATTCTTTGTAACTATTGCCAGAAGGTTATGATAGGAGGTATCACAAGGGTGAAACATTTGATTGGAAAGGCAGGCAATGTTACAACTTGTTTGATGGCTCCTGAAGCTGTCAAGGTTGAGATAAGGGCAACTATGGATGGTAAGAAGCAGAGGCAAAATGAAACATTTAAGAAGGCAATGCAAGAGATTATAGCACAATGTGAAGAAGGATTTATGGAATTTGGAGGTTCTGATTCTCGACTACCTCCAATTGGTGATTTTAGATTGAAGGATATTAGGAAGGGACCTATGGACCTTTACAATCAATCTCAGTCTACAGATGCAAAAAATAGGAAAGACAAGGTGGTGCAAGCAGGCATAAGAGAGCTTTGTGATAAAAAAGCTACAAAAAGGGTGTACCAATATATAGCACGCTTTTGGTACCAAGCTGGCATATCTTTCAGCTTGATAAAGTTGGAAAGTTTTAAAGATATGCTTCGTGAAATTGGGCATTTTAGGAAGCATTTGAAAGCTCCTTCCTATCATGACATTAAAGTACCACTCCTTCAAAAAGAGATGGAGTACACTAATGAATTAATGAAGCCACTAAAGGATCAATGGGCAAGTTTTAGGTGTTCTTTAATGTCAGATGCTTGGACTAATAGGAAACAAATAAGCATAATCAACTTTTTGGTGAGCTCCTCTTCTAGGACAACGTTCTTAAGGTCGGTTGATGCATCTGACTATGTAAAGACCGATGAAAAGATATTTGAGTTGCTGCGTTCTATTGTGGAGGAAATTGGAGAGGAAAAGGTTGTCCAAGTTATAACGGACAATGAAAGTAATTATGTTCTTGCAGGTAAGTTGCCAGAGGAGAAAAGAAAAAAAATTTACTGGACTCCTTGTGCTGCACATTGTATAGATTTGATGTTAAAGGACATTAGTAAGCTTTCCAATATAAAGAAGACCATTCAGCAAGCTATCTCTCTTTTTGGCTTCATTTATAGTCATTCAAGCACTTTGAGCATGTTGAGGTTCTTTACTGGTGGGAGGGAGTTAGTGAGGCATGCAATCACTCGATTTGCAACATCTTATCTTTCCTTGGAGAGGGGTCATCAAGAAAAAACTAATCTTCGAAAGATGTTTGTGTCAGAAGAGTGGAATGAAAACAAGATAGCTAAGGAGGCCAAGGGAAAGGAAGCCACTAAAACTGTCTTGATGCTTAGTTTCTGGAAGAATGTAGTTTTCATTATGAAAGTGATGGCGGCTCCTCTTGTAAAAGTGCTTAGACTTGTGGATAGTTTGAAAAACCAGCCATGGGCTACATATATGAGGCAATGGACAAGGCAAAGGAAACCATTATGAAATATTTTAAAAATGAAAGCAAATACAAGGATGTGTTTGCAATCATTGATAAAAGATGAGATATTCAGCTTCATCGCCTGTTACATGTTGGTCACTTTTTGAACCCAGAGTTCTTTTATGCCAACCCACAGATGGAATTTAATTGTGAGATTATTAGGGGTTTATATGATTGTATCAATAAATTGCTAGGAGATTTGGAGATGGAGAAGATTGTTCATAAGGAGTTGGCTCAATATAAAGTTGTGAGTGGTATGTTTGGGTCCACAACGGCTATAACAATGAGGGGTGAAGTTGCACCGGGTAAGAGACAAAACATTGCAACTTCTAAACGTTTATTCTTTAAGTCATTTGCTCAAGTGTGTGTGTGTTAAACATATTTTGTTTACATTTGTAGCTCAATGGTGGCAGATGTATGGTTCAGATACTCCATATTTGCAACAACATGCAATAAGGATCCTTAGCTTGACATGTAGTGCTTCGAGTTGTGAACGTAATTGGAGCGTCTTTGAGCAAGTAATTAATTTCTTAATTCCTATTTAATGTCAACAATCAATGTCTAGCTTATTATTCCTTAAGTAGTAAGTTTTTATTTAATTGTTTTAGGTTCTTACTAAGAGAAGGAATAGACTCGAGCATAAAAGACTACATGACTTGGTATTTGTCAAGTATAATCAAACACTCCATCAAAGGTATAACCTTAAGGATGAAATTGATCCCATTAGTCTCAATGGGATTGATGATTGCAATGAGTGGCTAATTGGAGAGATGGATGGGGAAGAAGGTGAAGATGAGAGGGTTCATGAAGAAGATGATGACCTTACTTGGAGACAAGTTTATCAAGCTTCGAGACTTCATGAGCCTAGACAATACACTAGGCGTCACAAAAGGAGAGGAGCAAGTGGAGAGGGGCAAGTAGGAACATCTACTAATCCATCTAAAAGAGCCAAAGGATTAGCTTCAAAGAACAAGGGGAAAAGTGTTGAAGAAGTTGAGGCATCAGAAGATTTTAGCACTAGCAATGAGGAGGAGGAATTAGTGCCAAATGCTAATTTCATACATTCTGATGGAGAAGAAGCTGAAAGATTTTTAAATGAGCAACATCATCATGTGAAAATTATTTATGCAGACATTGATGAGGATGAAGAGGATTAAACAAAATAGTTTTAGGAATTGTCATTGTCCTTTGCTATTTTGTAACATTGTTTCTTTGTTTTGATGGCTATTTAATCCTTTTATTGGTTAGGAATTTATGTTTTTTTATGATGACTATCACTAGATTATGAATGCCATGAATTTTAGATTGTTATATTGTTGGTTTTAATATATGTGTTTGTTATTTTTCTGTTTTGGCATCATATTATATATATATATATATATATATATATTATTTTTTTTTTTTTTTGTCCGCCATAGACCGCCATGGCAATATGGCACTTAAAGGTCCTTGCTACCATCTGTCGTATAACCTTATTGATAACCTTGTTGTAGTGGCAATTGACAGCGTGTGGGGAGGTTTCCAGTTACAAGACTTACATGTAGAGATCGCCAATGATGGACATTCCTTTTTGGCTCATTGTTGACTCCAACAGTGGTGGTTGGGGTGGAGAGGGTGGCAACAACTCTGATTTTAAAGCAATAGAAACAGAGCTCCCAAGATTGGGAGCTTTGATACCAAGTTGAAAGAGAGGATTCTATTTTGTTTTCTTACTAATTACACTCTTCTCTTACCCTATTATAGAGATACATTTATCCTTACAATAGGTAAATATGAAAATAAACAAAAATAAAGGAAATAAGGAGAGATTATAAAATAATATCAAATCTCCTAAGATACTCCTATTTACAACAAAGAGCAACATGAACTCTGGCAAGATATATTGACATCAAACCTTTGTGATGCAATCAGAGTCATCAAGTCATGGCAAGCACCAAAGAGATGTTGGGTGTGATGTTGGGGTGAAAGGTAAACTTGATGACACTACATAATTGCACATCAATCTTTAACCACTTTGCACAATTAGCAGCTACCATGGAATTTATAATAATGGTAAGGTGGTCTTTGTATCCCTAGCCACTAACCCATAGCGAGATGTCAAAAGCCCATGTAGAGTAGTTTGAACCATCCATTTTCCAATTGATAGTGGAAAGTTCAAAAAAATAGCAACTTGTGGCTTAGGAAGATTTGGATTAGAGGATGACATGGTCATAAGAAAGCAAAATACCCGTGGTGACAAAGGGAAATTGGGAAAAGTGCCATATATCAAAACTGTCCAAATCGTGTCAAGAGTCTCGGGTTAGGTTCCCCAAGGAATGGCAACCGAAATGACAAATGTTATTTGGTTGGACAACTTGGCACGTGTGAAGGTGCATCTAAACTTTGATCGCGACATTGTCAGTAGAATCGTGTAGATCGACAGTAGGCAAGTCTAGCAATGGTGTTGGGTGTTGAAAAAGTCACTAGGATGTCATAGTCGTTAACTATAGAAAAAGACGTTGAAAAAATTGTGTAGACACACGAGTATCGACAAGGAATGTAGTGCACCTAAAAAAAAACTTCATCTAAGATAGTGAAAGATTGACTCTGGATATAATGTTAAAAGAGAGAAAAATAGAGACATGAAAGATTGAACTCATGTTCTCTTAACTGCACAATGGAGGTTTAAATAAATTGGAAGAATACAATTAATATGTATGATTAGGGTATAGTTTGTAACATATTTCCCCATTTAGTGCTATACAATAAATGGTATATTTTATTTTGATTTTCAACAAGGCTAAAACAATGTATTTTCTAAGGGAATATCAAATGACATTGATAAAAAAATTCAAATCTTTAGAAAGACCATTTAGTTGTAGGTCTTTTATTATTTTGTATGGTTTCACTTAGAGCTTAGGTTACTATACCTCTAAATATTGGGCTATCCTCCATCTTATCAACTCTTCAAACAACAACTTCTATTGGCCTTCTTCTGACATGTCCAAATCATCTTGGATGTGATTCTACTATCTTTTCCTCAATAGACATCACTTCTAATACATTAACTATTGGCTTTATCTCTTTTTTTTTTAAAGACCACTCATCAAAGCATCATTCTCATCTTTATTGTTAAAATATATGAAAATATCCAATCATGTGTTAGAATACCTTAGATTATCCTCTAAAGATTAGTTTCCCTATTTCCTCATCATCTCTTAGGATTGGTTACCATATTTCCTTATCTTCTCATGATTTATTTTATGTAAAAGATTTCGAGCATGAAAGTTCTAACATGTCATTTTCAAAACTCTTTTGTTCTAGTACCATAGGCTATCAAATTTCTTCACTAGCTATCATATACCTAAGCATCAATCACAGTTATAATACATTATTGAAGCAAAGTATATACCTACACACAATGGCATTTTCTAGAGAACCTCCTTTGATAAGTCCAGCATTGCGCATTTGCTCAACCTGCAAGAAATTTTTAAGAAGTTGTTAGTTGCATACTATCCAACATATAACTATGCTCATAAAAGAAGAGAACTATTCACATGTGAAAAGTGATCCTAATAGAAACCTGGTATCTTATTAAAAAGAAATAAGACATTACCCCATTAAAGATAGAAACACAACAAAATTTTGAGAGTCTGCACCTCCCAATGTCCAAAACCCCCAGTTCACTCAAAAGTATTGGCAACGTGCTTAATAGAAACCTGGTATCTTATTAAAAAGAAATAAGAAATTACCCCATTAAAGATAGAAACACAACAAAATTTTGAGAGTCTGCACCTCCCAATGTCCAAAACCCCCAGTTCACTCAAAAGTATTGGCAACGTGCTTTATTTCTTCAAGCAACAAACTTAACTAACTACTAATTGGTATCTATTAATACTCACCAACAATTTTTGTGCCATCCTCAAGGTTAAGGATACCACCCTCTAAACTAGTACAGTGTGTCCCCAAAATGAATGCAATTCCTCCTAGGTCAAACACAAACCACTACAGTAGGGTATTGATGCTTCTTAAATTGTTAGATTACATTGTTCTATGTGAACTGAACTATCGTGATTGTTGTTGACGCTTATCATAGTCATCCAATTCATTTTGTTGGGCTCAACTTGCTAATACCTGAAAATTTAGTTTTTCTTTCATGGAGTATGTTGGTGTCATTTTGATGTAGTTGACCCCATTTGAGCACATAAAGCATGGTTGTCCAATATCTAGTTAAACTTTGTGAATGTATTGTAAAGAGCAGTTATTAAACTAACTCTGGGTTGTTAACTCTAGTTTACTAAACTAACTAAAGTTTAGTTAGTTAGTGAGTACTCAACTTGTATTATATACACACAATACAAATTCAGTTACAGAATCTGTTACTTTCTTCCCTCTTTTCGCTTCTCTCTCTTCTCTTACATGGTATCAAGAGCTTGACGATCAACAATGGCTGAAGCGTCTTCACTGCAACCTTCGTTTGCACTAATTACGTTTGCGCACACGATTTCGTCGAAGTTAGATGAGACAAACTTCCTCATATAGCGTCAACAAGTCGAACCAGTCATCAAAGCTCATCGACTCCAACACTTTGTTGTTTGTCCAAAAATTCCACTCAGATTCTTGAACGAAACAGATCGAGATGCAGGAAAACTCAATCCAGAATACATTGCCTGGGAGCAGCAAGATCAAATGCTCATGTCGTGGCTTCAATCTTCAAGTTTGGGACAAGATTCATGATTATTTTCATAAACAAACTCGAGCAAGAGCTCGACAGTTACGAACCGAACTCTGATCAACTTCTCTTGAAGAAAAACCTATGGAAGAATTTCTTCTTCGCATCAAAGCTCTTGTTGATGCGCTAGCGTCTGTTGGAGAATCAGTTTCCTTACAAGAACATGTTGATGTAATTCTTGAAGGTCTCTCACAAGACTACAACTCTGTGATTTCTGTCGTTGAAAGTAAATTTGAAACTCCTTCAATTGAAGAAGTTGAAGCCCTTTTGCTGGCACACGAGATGCGACTTCAAAAATACAAGAAGAAACTTCTATCAGAATCAGCGTCAATAAATTTAACACAGGCTCCAATAACAAACCCTAACTCTGGTTTGCAAATGAAAACTGAGTCTACAAATCAACCTAATCAGTTTTCACAAGATGTTGATATGGAAATGAATGCTGGAAGAAACACCTATCGTGGCCACGGAGGTCGACGTGGACGTGGTCGCGGTGGAAGATTTTCATGTGTTTAGTGTCAAGTTTGTCATAAAATTGGTCACATTGCTGCATATTGTTATCATCGATTTGATCAAAACTATCAACCTTTGATGGCTTATAATTTTCAAGGAAGCTACTCGCAGAATCCTAGTTTTCAGAACTCTGGTTTTTCATTCAACAATAATACCAGTGGATTTCAAAATCAATTTAATCAGCAACAACATAACTCTATGGTTCCCAGTTTCAACAATCAAGTGAATCGAAACATGAAGCCTGCTACTTCTCAATAGCCTAGTGTTATGGTGACCAACACAAGCTCAACTAGCAATCCTACAAATTGGTTTCCTGATTCCAGTGCTTCGTTTCATGTAACAGGAGAACAATAGAATATTCAACAAATGAGTCCTTTTGAAGGACCAGATCAGATATTCATTGGAAATGGTCAAGGTTTTCCTATTCATTCTTCTGGTTCATTCTATTTTACCTCTCAAAATAATCCTAAAATGTCTCTAGCTCTACATAATCTTTTACATGTCCCTCATATTACAAAAAATCTTATCAGTGTTAGTAAGTTTGCTAAAGATAATTCTGTATATTTTGAATTTCATCCCACTTATTGCTTGGTTAAATCTCAGGTCACCAATGAAGTGTTGGTGCAAGGAAATGTGGGATATGATATGATGGTTTATACTGCTTTCCTAATCTTCAGCTTCAAGCTGCTCCAAGCAACTCCTCAGCATTCATAGTCTAATAATTCCAATACTGTAATTTCTGATGTTGATGTATTGAATAATGTCAAGTCTAGCTCACATACCTTATGGCATGCTAGATTAGGTCATCCAAACTTTCATGTTCAAAAGCTTGTTTCTCAACAATGTAATATTCCTGTTGTGAATAAAATTGATGGTTTCTTTTGTAATGCTTGTTGTATGGGCAAAGCACATCGTTTGCCTTCCAATTTTTCTGATTCTATATATAAAAATCCTTTAGAGTTAGTGTACAATGACTTGTGGGGACCAGCCCCCATACAATCCTCGAATAATTACAAATCATAGTAGTCAATCCCGGATAGCGGAGCGGAGCGGTCGACCCTAAAAACGGGATAGGGGAATGACGCGGAGAGGGATAACCGCTATTTTAATATTAATTTATATATATTAAATAATTAATAATATATATATATAAAAGCTAAAAAAACTCTAACTTCATACATTAAACATTTTTAATAATTAAAAGTTCATAGTACTCAAACAATACATAATATAAAATGTCTTAAAAACAAAGTGCTAAAGTTCTAAGTAATTAAAAAATTAAACATTATAGTTTAATCTTCTTCCTCATCAAGATTAAAGTCTTCCTCTCCCTCAAATTCATTACCCTCACTAGCATTAGAATTATATTTTTCTTCTTCCTCTACTTCATCATCATCCTCATCTTCTAGAACTTCCATCACTTTTTTTCCTTTATCTTTCTTGGATGTAGATGCAATTGTTGATGTCTTGTTCACTTGTGTTTGTCTCCTTGGGTATTTCAAAGGTTCACCAGCACCACTTGCCTGGGCAACATCTCTCGGAGTCAAAACATCATCATCAAACACTAAGTCATCTTCAAAATCATCCTCATCATTCTCTTCTCCCAACATCCATTCATTGTTATCATCAACTTCATTTAAAGCAATTGAATCAATTGCATCTTGACACTCAAAGCGTTCTTGAAGAGTTTGATTATATTTAATAAAAACCAAGTCTTGAAGCTTTTGGTGCTCAAGCTTACTTCTCTTCTTTGAGTGAATCTATAATAATTTAAGAACATGACGGTTAGTTAATTTTCCATTTTCAATAGTAAACTCAAATTTAAATCCATTAATTCATTAACTTACATGCTCAAAGGTACTCCAATTACGCTCGCAACCAGATGAGCTACAAGTCAAGCTTAGTACCTTAGTGGCAATAATTTGCAAATGTGGTGTATGTCCTCCATACATCTTTCACCACTCAGCTATAAATGCAAATATTATTATATAAATAAATTATCAAATAACTATAAAATTTGTAAGTGAAGTTAAGGCTTAAGAAAAGTCTCACTTACCAGGAGCCATTTTAACCCTTGCTCTAACTGTTGCAGGAATGTCAAATCTTCCTCCTGCCCTTTTATATATTGCCAATTGATTGTGAACATTGTCTACAATGTCATTATTTTCACAAAGCCTATCAATACATTTGAAAAGGCCATCCACCACTTCATCATCAGCATCCATTCTTGTTGAATTTTTGTAATAAAACTCAGGATTTAGATAATATCCTGCTGCATGCAACGGATGATGGAGTTGACAATCCCATCTTCTATCAACAATTGCAAATATATCCTTATATTTTTCTTCATTATGATTAAAAGAATTTTGAATTGCCTCCTTAGCCCTCTCCATTGCTTCATAAATGTAACCCATTGCCGGTTTTTTTTCATTATCTACCAACCTCAACACACGTACAATAGGCCCCATAGCCTTTAAAGCATAAACAACATCACTCCAAAATGTAGGCATAAGAACAATATCCGTTGCTTTCTTCCCCTTAGCTTCTTTGGCTCCTTTTGATTGCAACCATTCGTCAGAAGTAAACATCCTTCTAAGATTTGCCTTTAACTTATGCAATCGTTGCAAAGTAAGGAAGGTGGTAGCAAATCTTGTAACTCCATGCCTCACCAATTCGACCTTATTTGTATACTTCCTCATGGTGTTTAGGGTCAATGTATGATTATAAATGTAACCCACAAGCTTGATGGCTCTTTGTATTACCCTTTTAACTTTAGGGGTCTTTCCAATATCTTCTAGCATCAAATCAAGACAATGAGCAGCACATGGAATCCAAAATAAATGTGGTCTCACAGTTTGTAAAATTTTGCCTAAAAACACAATAACAAAATAATTAAAATTAGAAGGTATAACTTATAATCCTATGAGTATAAAATTAGAATATAAATTGATTCTTACCCGCCATAACAAGAATATAATTTGATTCTTACCCGCCATAACATAATTGCTTCCATTATCTGTTATTTTTGATAGTACTAATTCTACTTCCATTGACATTGAAAATTAATTGAGTAGTTTTCCAACATGGATGTCCCAACCTTTTGTGCCATACTTCTAGCTCATTCATTCCTTCAACGTTGCATACCTTCTTCATGAGGGTCTCTCGAAAGAAATAGAGTCCATCCCTTCGTTCACCCGCTCCAATCAGCATCTTCGAGGTTCGGTCCTGTATAGCACACATATTACCAACAAACTGGACATTACAATTTAATTCATCTGACAATTGTGATATAGAAATCAAGTTGCATTTCAATTGAGGTACATAAAGTACTTGTTCAAGGTTTAAATTATCAGTAAGTTTTACTGTTCCTTCCTTATTAGAAATAACAGTGTGTCCATTTGGAAGCCCAACAGGACATCCAGACACGTCCCTCACATTGCACAGGTGTTGCAAATTT